GCAACCAGCTTGAATTTCTCCTCAGAAAATGGCTTTTCTTTTCTATCGCATTGTCAGACTGCACATTTTCCAAACTTTTTTGCTCTGCTTCATAAAACTGAATGCCTTTAACAGCATCTAAGTCACATCTTGAATGCTTTGCTGCTTAGAAATTTCTTCTGCCAGATAACCTAAATCATCTCTCTCAAGTTCAAAGTTCCACAAATCTCTATGGAAGGGGCAAGGTTTTACCAGTCTCTTTGTTAAACATAACAAGAGTCACCTTTGCTCCGGTTCCTAACAAGTTCCTCATCTTCATCTGAGACTACCTAAGCCTGGACCTTATTGTCCATATCACTATCAGGCTTTTGGTCAAAGCTATTCAACAAGTCTCTAGCAAGCTCTAAACTTTCCCACATTTTTGTGTCCTCTGCTGACCCCTTCAAACTGTTCCACCCTCTGCCTCTTACCCAATTCCGAAGTCACTTCCACATTTCCAGGTATCTTTTCAGCAGCACCCCACTCTACTGGTATCAATTTACTATATTAGTCTGTTTTCACACTGCTGATAAAGACATACCTGAGACTGGGCAATGTACAAAAGAAAGAGGTGTAATGGACTCACGGTTCCATGTGTCTGGCGAGGTCTCACTATCATGGTAGAAGATGAAAGCACCTCTCACATGGTAGCAGACAAGAGAAGAGAGGTTGTGTAAGGAAGCTCTGCTTTTAAAACCATCAGATCTGGTGAGACTTGTGACTATCACAAGAATAATACAGGAAAGATCTGCCCCCATGATTCAATTACTTCTCACTAGCTCCCTGCCACAGCACATGGGAATTCAAGATGAGATTTTTGTGGGGACACAGACAAACCACATCAGGGCCCTAGGGGCATACGTTTTCCAATACTTTTTTAGGAAGCTGCTATGGCGTTTTTATATTAAAAGTTGACAAAGAAAGCTTAATTGATTAAGCTGTATATTTATGTTTTGGGAACCTAGCATGTTTTTTAAAAGTAGATAAATAGATATAAATATCTCTTCAACATCAGGCTGCTAATAAAAAGCTTTCAGTGAAAGACTTTGTAAACCAAGATGAGCAAATCTTCCAGAAAGTAGAATATAGAGACAAAAAGAATGAAACATTGTTTAAAACGTCTTAGTGTTGTCCTGGAGTTAGACTTTAAAATTTTTGAGAGATTGAGAACAAATAAGAGAGATTAAATTATCAAACAAGTAATGCAAGAATGCTTCTAATAAATGCAAGGCATCTGTATCCAGATGGAAAAGACCACTTGGTGACTTAAACCAAGGCATGCTAACTGCGAAATTTCAAAATATCAAAAATAAATAAAAATAAATAGTAAATCCTGAAAGATTTTGAAAATAATTATGTAATTTCATTGATTTTAAAACCAATACATATATATCCTAGATAATTTAGAAAAGTATAAAGAAGAAAAATGTTTCTTCTAGTTATATGTATAATTATGTACATATATTTAAGAAATCTGGATAATTTATATATGTATGCACATATATATGTAATTTTATATTTTGCTTTTTCCCAAATAATATAATAGCTTGAATATACATTCCATTAATATTCTTCATAAACATGACATTTAATGGCTATAAAATATTAAATTTTATGGATATGACATTGTCTATACAATCAGTTTATATTGATAAATACTTAGATTGCTACTAAAAATAATTCTGCTTTAAATATCTTGTGTGTAAATCTTGGAAAGACTGCCTGATTATTTATTTTGGATAGATTCTTAAAAGAGGAACAAGTGTTTAAAAGGTACTCACTAGTTGTTGGATAATTATGTCTATCCTTAAGACCCTTCATGCATATGACCTGATTGTTTTTGAGAAGGTGCTATCAATTTTGAGAAGATACCCCAAGGAGGTTAACAGCGTGTGTGAAGTTAAGGGATCAGGATGACTCTGAAATTAGTGATAGAGTCAGGATGGGATATGCGGCCCGATAACTTCCACGATAGCAGTCTTGGTGCTCTCATCTTCCCATTGCTTTATGTGGATGCCAGCAGCAATGCTCAAGCCTCTTGTAAAAAAAAAATAATAGTAATAAAAATAAAATAAATAAAACAAAACACCAGGTAGCTTACCGCATTTCAGGCTCAAAATTGTTGGCAATAACATAAGACATGGTCTTACATGATTCATATGTTTCATTGTCATTAAAAGACTTACTGAGTGTCTATGCAAGTCAGGACATTAAATACAGCCTGGTGTAAACAAGTATGGAACATTTCTTGATCATGCAGTATTGTGAAGCAGGCTGCACCATGTGCTGGTAGAGTATATCCTTCTCTTTTCATGGGCAGAGTCAAAGAGGAGGAGACAAAATCTACAAAAAGAATGCTGGAGAGAGGTAGAATGATGAAATTGCATACATATAAACTGCTATTTTACAGGCATGCTAAGCAGAGACATGACTTCTTTCAGACTCAAGGAGATTTATCATTTAAGATTAGGGTTTGGCTGCATAAACAGAAAACTCAGCTCATCAAAATGTTAAACAAATCAATGTATTCCTCTCACACGTAAGTTCAGAGGTTGTGATAAGAGGAGTGAGTGTCCTATTGCAGTAGTATCTATTTTATTTTACTTTTTAGAGGCAGGATCTTGCTATGTTGCCCAGTCTGGGCTTGAACTCCTGAGCTAAAGTGAACCTCGCACTTCAGCCTCCCAGTAGTTGGGACTACAGGCAGATACCAACATGCCTAGCTTGTAGTAATTTATTTCTGAAGATTGATCTGGGGTTGGTGAGGGATAGGACAAAGCAAGAGAAACTGAATCAGGAAGATGTCCTCAGGAAACAACTGCTTGTTGAGATATTAAGAGGGACTGAAATTACAGCATGAATGAAAGACACTGGAGAGAAGAATTTGCAAGTGGAAAAGTAGGGCACAGGCAGAAAAGAAGTGAAGATGATATCAAGGTTTGGATATTGGTGACCCCGCTGGGAATTTTAATTCAAATTGAGGAGAGACAGTCAGTTCCCTTTCAGGCACACGGAGCTTGTCCTCACAAGCTGAGCCAGGGCTACTGTGGCAGTCACTCCAGGACAGCATGAGTACCTTGTCTAACTGGTTTTGGAGTGTCAGCCTGATCGTGCCACCCATGAAATAGTGCGTTGGTTCCCTTAGGAGGGCACACCTCTCGGCACTGATAAGATTTGTGTGATCAGAATGAGAAAGGTCAGCTAGAAAAATACTGAAACCTAAAACACTGATACCCAGCACTTCGTGGCCAGACAGGAAACTTTGTCACTATACATTGCATGTTGAAACCTGGAACAGGAGCCACTGGAAATCCTCATCCAAGACCTATTCAGTACACATTTGAGTTTAATGTTTTCTTCTTTTGATATCAATAATGTTTTCATAGAAATGAAATACAAAAAAAAATCAAATATAGAAAAGCAGGAAAATATATAAAAAAGAAGCAGTAATCTCACTATCCAGAGACAAACTCTACTATGTGGATACATAATTGTCTGTACTTTTTTCCGTCAACAGTGTATGTGTATTTGTGTGTGTGTGTGTAAAATGGAAATTATGTATTTGATGCTAAATTGGGGACTGTAACTTTTTGCAATTTGTTGCCCTCCCATTTAAAAATGTCGCAAAAAATTGTGAACATTTTTCCAGCTGCAATATTTTCTTTAACATTGTTTATAAAGGCTGAATAATGTGCCAGCACAGATGTACAGCATTACAATATTTAACCTCATGTCTGTTTAAGGAGTTCTGATTTTTTGTTTTTATAAGCAACACTGCAATTGGAATTCCTAAAGCTAAATAGTTACATACATCTTTAATAATTTCTTTACCACAAATTCCTATAAATAGAATTATTAACAAAGGGCACATGCATTTTAAGTTTTTGATACATATAGCCACATTTCCGTTTAACAGCTTTTCCTGAGTCCCACCAGCATCATATGATAGTATCCATTTTTTTGCATTCTCATCAAAATTGGATATTTTTAGTATTAAAATATATTTGTCGATTTTAAAAGTAAAAAATAGTATTACGTTATTCCTTAATTTTCATACTTTTATTACTATCCTACTTTTCACATAATTGTTTTTTTGTCTTCTGTGGTCAATTGCTTATTTATATCCTTCTCTATCTAATTTAGTGTTTTAAAATCATTTATTAGAACAAATTAACATAAGATATATTTCCTTTTGCCTGTCTTAAATGTTGCAAAATTTTTCTCATCCTGCATGTATAATTTATCTTGCTTCTGGTGATTGTTAATGTCTAGACATTTTTTCCTTTTATTATTTCTGCTTTTCACATAATATTTAAAGATCCTTTCTCTACAATAATAATTCATAGACATTCACCTTTTTGTTATAATAGTAATTTTGTGGAGCATTGGAAATGCCATCAATTTGTCTGAAATAGAATCAGAGGACTCAGGCTGATAGGTTGTAAGGGTAACAAAGAGAGAGGAATAAGAGTGACTGAGTTTTGGGGCTTGGTAGACTTCAGCGAGGGTGGAACCACGACCAAAAACCAGGAATACAGGAAAGGGAACATGTCTGTTAGAGTAGATAATGAGTTCAGTTTTGCACATGTTGCATTGAAACCGTCTGCCAGAAAGCCTGGTAGAAATGCCCAACAGGCAGTTGGGACAAGGGTATGCAATGCAGGAGTAAGGTTGTGTTTTAAATACAGATATAGAAATCATCAGCAGACATTTGGCAGTTCAACAACATGTTCTTGTCAGTGTGCATCCTAGGCTAAGCACTATGCTAAGCACTTCATAGAATTTTATTTAGTCTTCTCAAAAAGTTATGAGGTTAAAATTATTATCCTCATTTTACACATGAAGGGTTAGGCTTGCAGAAGTTAAACTACTTTATGAAGTTCTTGTGACTGGGTAGTGGTAGAACCTGAATATGAAATCAGGTAAGTTTGCCTGATTCCAGATTGCCAAATTCCCTAACCCCATTTTCCCTTTTGTCACAGGAGTGGATGAGCTCAAGCAGGGAAAGTCATAATCCCAAAGATGAGGAATAGCAAACTTCAGTGGATGGACAGAAAAGAAGGGAAGTTTCCAGAGAAGGCGTCTGGGAAGAGGGTCAGAGTGGAAGGCAGAGGGCCATGTGTATACATGCTGATGCTTTAACCAGAATGGAAGCATTTTGATGGTAAGGGCTTATATCTTATATACTCTTTGAGATAAATGTGAGACCCTTCTTCTGACCCTGATCTTCAGAAATGTCTGTTACAGTCCTTTGTACACACATATTTCTTCGCTGATGCTGTGGTGGTCTGTCAGTAATTTTCTTGTGTTAACCTTCTCAGCTAGAGCTTACAAGTCCCTGTGTCCTCACCTGTTATGGACTAGGAGTTCGTTTACTAGAGAGCCTCAGTACTATCCTAGCGCCTTCTCCAAGAGCAACAGGAGCAGACTCCTTGGTATATGCTCTCTATGTGCACTGAGTCAGACCCCTCCCACAAATGCACAGCATGCCACTTTTACCTGTGTTGACTTTTTGCCTGAGTTGATGAGAGATTATGGGATATATCCTTTTATCATTGAATCATAGATTTTTTCTTTTCTTCATATATTGGCTGTTTCCGTACATAGTTAGAACTTTATGAAATAGAAATCGAATCTCTCTCTTTTCTTTATGGCCTGAATATTTAGTAGCATAGCAGAAACAAAGCTACCATAGAAGTCTGGACCTGGAATTTATGACATGCTAAGGGGATGTAATATAGTCAAAAAAGCACAGATTTAGGAATTAGGGGTTATGATTCTCATTCTGTCACTTCATATCTGTGACTTTGGAAAAAATATTTAAATTTTTGAGCCCTATTTTCCTCATTATAAAGTGAAGAACTTGCTACAGAGTGCTTGTAAAGATCAAATAAACTTACCAAGATAAAGGGCTTACCTTGTTGTAGGCTCCCAGTATAAGGAAGTTGAAATTCTAGTACATAAAGAATCATTTTCCTCCATGTTTTCAGATGCTTGTCTTTTGGCCATTCCGTAGCTCATTTCCACTCATCCATGTTAGGTGGGTTAGTAGAAAAACAAGCCTTAATTCAGCCATGCCTGTTTGGTGCAGCTAAGGCACGTAATTTTAGTTGGTGATAAATATACTGCTGAAATGGTTTAGGGCATAATCTAGTTTTCTTGATTCATACTACAGGTGGGTTAAAAATATACTTACAATCAGTTTCTCATGATAATGCGTAAATATCCTATTTTAGTCTTTCTTTCTGGAAAAAAAATCTAGCAACAAATTTCTCATAGACTGGAGTATTTATTTCAAGCACATCCCATACAGAATCCCTCTTGGCTTCTCTCTAAATAACCCAAAATTTGCTTCCTACTTCCGGATCTCTGCTGCAATCCTGAATCAGTACTAGATGACTCCGTTGCAAGTTAGCGCAGGTTTCAGACAAGCCTACTGGGTAAAGAGAGAACTTTTCGAAGACAAGAGACAAATAAGCTGCAACTTTAACTTGGCAGACGTATTTATTGAAATTGTGGTTTAGGAGAATTTTCCAAAGCCCCTGTAGCTGTAGATCTGATTTGAGAGCTCCAACTTCTCTCTCTTCTTTGGGAATGAATATTATTTAGGAAAGCCCTGTCTTGTTGCCTTTGTTTGGTGTAATTACTTGTAATTACCCTTTCATTCTCAAGAATCATAATTTGGATGATAAAATGTATGGTCATTTCTTCCAGGCCTTTTGCAGAATAAAGTTCATCTGTTTTAAGATATATTTCTTGTATTAATCTAAGAAATATTAGAATACCTTTTCTATAGCAGAAGCCCTTGGGACCTCATCTTGCAGTCATTTAAATATTTCTTCAGAGTAATAATTAAAAGCACACATAAGCTAATGAATAACTCCCCATGGCTCTCTTAATGGCAAAAGCAAATAATATAACTTCACAGGGACTTACCAAATACAGCAGCCCTAGGAGAGAAACATGAGGATTTGTCCCTTCAAGTTTAAATTTGCGAAGCAATTTGCAATCATTGTAATTAGTTTTTCCATTTCGTAAATATAAGAATAGGTATTCACATTGGACAGAAAGGGAATGGAGACTCAGAGAAACCTAATGCTGTGCCTTCTGGAATATTGTTCTAGGCTTGAATTCTGAACACTGTGGTCTCACACACCCTTTACAAACTTGAGTCATCTCCCTTCCTGACGCTGGTGAGATGTGCTGTGGTTTAGCAATTTGAGGGTAGTAAGCTTTTAAAAAGATCATCAGAGATGCTTTAGAGTTAATGTGGAGAACAGGTTTCCGTGGTGCCGTGTGGTTGCTGGGATGGGAAAGAATGACACAGCTGTTCTCTCCAGTGGGAGGATGCACTGGCTCTTTTGGAAGCTGTGTCAGGAAAAAGCTGAGATCTTCCTGATCCTAAGGCATCTGAGTAGGTATATGTTCAGGTTGGGGAAGACTGGTTCTTAAGAAGCATCATAATTGCAGGAGATGGGGTTGAATGAAAGAGGAGACAAGAATGGTCTACCTGCTTGATAATATCCTTTCCATCTATTCAATGTCTGGCCTGATCCAGTTTATAGTTTTTCCCTGGCTCCCTGTCTGCAGCCTGGTTCTGAGAGTAGAAACTAAGTTCAAAGTAGGCAGGGGAGCACAGGAAGGTTTACCCTCCAAAAAAAAAAAGAGCTTGGATTGCCTTTGTCTGGTGGGAAAATGTGCAGCAGCAGAGGAAAGAATAGTGCCATGAAACCAGAGAAGAATTATGGCATCATGTTTGCTTTGAGACGGCCTTTCTTCTAAACCTAAAAAGAGGAGAGAAAATGTCACCTCTTGGGCAATGGTGCTATTGTGGGATGACTAGAATCAGCTAGGGTGTCACTCCTACCAGATGGTGTCTACAGGACTCAGAATTCTGAAATTTAGAGTCCAAAGGACTTTCCAGAGATCTTGCAACCCAACTCCCTCATTTTACCCAGGGGACTTTAAGGTTCAGAGACCTAGGCTTCTTTTACAAATATTTTACTGAACTGCTGGACTGGGGTGCTTACCAAGCTACTTTAGTCTAAAAGTCTTAAAAATATAAACCGAGAATAATTTCTTCCCACCGTGAAGAATGATCATGAGACCTAAATGAGTACTGCTGGAAATACTGCACATACTTCCTGCCTGGCCAGGGAGCTTGCTCACCAGGGTTGGCTGCTGTCCCTGAGAGGGATCTCCCACCCCTAGGGAGGCAATAAAACTGAAGCTTCAGGACCCCTTCTAAGGCCCTAGATCTAAAAATATACTTTTTGGTTTTGTATTTGTATTCTTTTGCTTAAAGATCTCCTTCCTCCAATTTTATCAGCTTCAGGACCCAAAAATCCTGAACTTTGTTCTGCCTGTCCTTTGTCATAAGTCTAAATGTCTGATGTGGCAATACACTGTTGATCAAAAGAGGACACCAGATAAGGGTGAGGATGACTCTGCCTGGACCAGGCCTGGGAAAACAGTCTGGGCCATTGAGAAAGTTGGGCTGCCTTTAACACCGAGGGCTGGCCCACAAGATGTCTCAAACTCCTGCCTTGTTTCTAGCCCAGCAGCTCATTGTCCAGACAAAACCTGTCTGTCAGATGTACAGACCTAGGATTTTAGAGCTGGCAAAGGCCTCATTTTGTCATCCTCCCTAATTCTGCAGGCATTTAGAATGGCTTAAGCATCTTGGGCTCCCGAATTCCTCCCGGGGAAGTGAGGTGACAGTGTTGGCTAATGCTTTACGCAGGTGGAATATCTGTCTCACTTGTTAGATATAACCTGCTTGGTGTGTCCCTGTGTGGGTGGAAACCAGTAAATTAGGCCTACCCAGCTAAGCATTTCAATAAAACACAAACGTGTGCAGTTCTACACACCATCACTTAGTGTTCATTCTGAGCAAAGCTTCTGAGTTACTCTCTGAGGAAAGATGAAGCTGCACAGCACAGCACTTGTGGAGAGAATTTAAAGCTTACCCATCATTTCATATTAATAGCTACTATTTATTTACCACCTACTATGGACCTGACGTTTTATCAATGAACTTTATTTTTATTTATTTATTTTTATTTTTTATTTTTTTAATTTTTTTGAGATAGATTCTTGCTGTTGACCAGGCTGGAGTACAATGGTGTGATTTCGGCTCACTGCAACCTCTGCCTCCTGGGTTCAAGTGATTCTCCTGCCTCAGAATCCCAAGTAGCTGGGATTATAGGGCCCACTGCCACACCTAGCTATTTTTGTATTCTTAGTAGAGACGGGGTTTCATCATGTTGGCCAGGCTGGTATCGAACTCCTGACCTCAAGTGATCCGTCAGCCTCAGCCTCCCAAAGTGCTCAGATTACAGGCGTGAACCCCCGCTCCCGGCCTATCAACAACTTTATAAAGCAGGTATTATCACTCTCTTTTGTTGATGTAGAAATCAAGGCTCAGAGAGGTTATGTGACTTATCCCAGTCACACACCTAGGGCATCCCTCTGCTTGCTCCGGGCGCGTGGAGGCTAAAGTTTAGGGTGTGTCAGGCAAGAAGAGGGAAGCAGAAAGACAATGGCCTTGTCAAACCTCCCTTCTTCCTTTCACACAGGCCTGTGTTTGAGTCTCACTGATAACACTTACTAGTTATGTGTGCCCTTGAGAAAGCTGCTTTTAATCCTGGTTTCCTTATTTATAAATTGAAGAAAAATAAACCACTTCATAAAGCAATTGAGAAGATAAAATGATAGAACGTGGACCAAGCTCCATTCACAGCACATTCAGGTATAAAATAGCTCCTTTTGGTATAAACTGTTCACCCCCTACGCCTGAATGTCCAATTTCTCATTTTCTTTATGTCTTTACTAAATTGTCTCCTTACTGAGACCTTCCCTGGCACCCTCTCTAAAGGCCAAACCCCATACAATCTCGTCACATCCCCTTTCCTGCCTTATTTTGTTACCAACTAATATATTGCAAATTGTACTTCATTTGTTTGTCTTGTCTGTCTCCACCCATGAGAAAGTAAATTGTTTTGAGGCCAGTGGTCATCGTCTGCATTCCAATTTCTGTATCATCCCAAGGACACAGAACTGTGCATGGTGCATGGTAGGTACTCAATGTGTATTGATCAAATGAATGAAAAAACAAAACAAAACAAAAAAAAAACAAAAAAAAAACTCTGGCAACCTAAAGACCAAGTTTGAATTTGGCTTTTTTCTTAACCATTTGACTGTGGGTACATTATTTAAAATGTCTAGCCCTTAGCGTCCTCATTTGTAAAACAGGAGGAAAAATGGTATCTATCATTAAGACAGCTGGGATGATTAAAAGACATCATTTTTAAACCCTCTGGCATATAGCAAGTGCTCAATAAATGTTTGTCATTATTATTTGTAATAATCTGATGGATTGTTAAAATTGTCTCTGTGCAGCTGACTTTTTAGGGTATGAGAAGAGGCTGAAAGTCACAAGTGCCTTTGGCCTTTTCAGCCCAATCGTCCTCCTTGTTAACTGATTACCAGTTGAAAGCATGTGAAGGTGCTCAGTGATCAAACCTCCAAGCTGCTGAGAGGTCAGCATTGCCATTCATTGAGAAAGAACAGGCTGGGGGAGCTCAAATGACTTACTTATGGTCCCTCGACTAAAAAACCAGGGCACGCAGGAACCAGGGCACCCAGCCAGTCTTAGGCTTCCTGATCCTGCATTTTCTGTCTACAGTGTGGGGTGGTTGGGAGCCCTGTGACTTCATACTTGGGTTCAGCGGGGCCTTTCACCGGCCATCTCCCGCAGAGTACTTCACGGTCAGCTTTCTCTGCAGGCAAAACGTGGAAAATAAGATCCACACCTCACAAGCTTGTGACCAGGATCACAGGCGAAAACAGCTCTTCGGAAACTCTAAAGCGCTGGACAAGTAAGTGCTGCAACAGGCAACTACACGCGAGCCCCTTTGAGCTGCCAGTCCCGGGACTCGCTCCTGTCTCCTCCCCTCTCCAAGAGCGCGGAGTAGGAAGGAGGATTAACCCCTAGGGGAGGAGTTCCGCCCCCGGCCCCCGCCCAGCCGCCGCCGCCTCTCCTTTGCACCCACGCTAGCGCTCCCCGAGTCTCTCTCGTGCGCCGCACCCGGGCTGCGCTTCCCTGGGCAGGCTCGGCACGGCGGGCCGCCCGCCAGGATGCAGGCCCCGCACAAGGAGCACCTGTACAAGTTGCTGGTGATTGGCGACCTGGGCGTGGGGAAGACCAGCATCATCAAGCGCTACGTGCACCAGAACTTCTCCTCGCACTACCGGGCCACCATCGGCGTGGACTTCGCGCTGAAGGTGCTCCACTGGGACCCGGAGACCGTGGTCCGCCTGCAGCTGTGGGATATCGCAGGTGAGCGCTCCGGGAGGGGGTCAGGGCACCCGGTGAGAGCGCCTCGCGGCCAGTTTCCAGTCTCGAGGCAGCGGCTTGTGGCCAAGCGTGAGATCGAAGTCACCAGGTCGCGAGGAAATTTTTCCTGGTGGGTTGGAAACTTAGTTTCAAAGAAAAGAAAAACGTTTCTCGCCCCAGCTGAAACTTCAAGTGCATTCCCTGGCGCTTTGGGGCTATTGCTTTAGCTCCTTCCCGCACATTCCCCTGGGATCTCTCCGCCCAGAGCAGGCCTCCCCAGGGGAACCAGAGGGAGATTGTCCGCAATTGCATTTTGTTCTCCACTCCAGCTCGTTTTCTGGGCGCGGGCATTTCTGCCAATGACGCAGCCGGGTGTCATGCACGTCCTTCCGTGCAGGGGCCAACCGAGGGGAAGCCCCTAGGCTGGTTCATAGAGGAAACGGGAATAGTTCCAGGCTAGCTGGAGTTTAAACATTCTTGTCTTCAGTCTCTCACTTTGTTCCAAATTTTGTCACCTTTCTCTCTGCCCTGAAGACAAAGGAGTTTGAGATTTTTTCCCCCCTTTCAAGAAGCCAAGTACTTTTGTGTGTATATGTCAGAGGCAAAGTATTGTTTCTCCTTCTCTTTCTGTATTTCTATCTCTCTGGTTCTCTGTCTTCTATCAAAACGAGGTTGTGTATATATTTTTTAAGCCATTTTTATGTAAGGGTCTATGATAGCTTTATGATTTCTTTATTTGGCCCTAAAGTTTTCATTGAGAGATCTGGAAAATGAGAGGTTTTTTGTTTGTTTTTACAATATTCAGAATCAGAATTTGACTCCACAGGTTTGTACCAGAAGTTAAGTGTGAATCCTTGGACTAGGCTGTTTGCAATCTGGGCATGACCAACTCCTCATTATAGATTTTAGTCCTACCACTAACTAACCTGCTTAGTGACTTTGGACAAGTCTCTTCAGCTCAGTTGCATCACTATTAAGTGGAAAGGAGTTGGGCAAGGGTCAGGGATCTTCTTGCTCAGAAGTTTAAAGATCTGGGATTCTCCGTGGGAATAACTTCAAACAGTCTTATTTCATGTCTGTTTCATGGTCTGTGACACCAGGAACCATGCTTTATAAGTACTAGACCCAAACTACCCACTTCTGTTTCAGAAAATGGGTTCATTTTAACTGATACGTCTAATTGGAAACACTTTATAATGGCTTGAAGCCAGAACAAATGTGGAAAATTTTTGAAAGGGCATTTGTGGTGTGGGGACTGTCATGCCTTTTTAATCATGAGCCTTATTCTTTTTGCAAGTAAACAGATGAGCAGATTCATGCATTTGGAGTCATTTTCATCTGCTCTAGTAGCAAGCAGGTTATCAGAGACCAGGAGATGTTATCAGCTACTGTTGGA